CAAAAGACTGAATAAAATGGTTCCGGCACGTAAAAGTAATCTCGTGGAAGAGTCTATTTACTCAAGAAGAGTTCCCACTCCAGAGGAAGTTTAAATATGAAAACGAGTTTGGTTAGATTTTTCTTTTACTCTTTCTTCCCCCTCCACTTATCTATGTTTTATTTTTATTTTTTCTATTACATTTGAGGTAATGTTGTGTCCCAGTTGGAATAAAAGTAGCCTTCGGGACAGAGTGGGGTGAATCCTTTTTAATCTTAGTTGGCAATTTTCAATTTGCAAGATCCACTTTTAGCATTTATTTAACAATAGCCCACAAAAGAATATGCAACACGAGCTTTTCAAATGGGTTCGAAGAATCGAATACTTAGTTCGTAATCTTCGTCTTTTTTAAAATCATTTTAATACAAGAAAGGCGATAATGCCCCTAAGACACAAGAGGTTACTAGGAGTGAAAGAAAACGAGATTTTAGAAGGAGGAACCGTAAACAAGGGATAAACAGCTTCTCCTCTTCAAAAGACGGTGAAGGTCTTAGCGCCAAATCATTTTCTTGAAATGTTAAAGAAAAAAAGGGAGAAAGAGAATGAGAAAAAGGGAGAGATAAAGAATTTGAGAAAGAGATAGCAAAATAAAGAAAGAGAGAGAAAGCAAAAAGAGAGAAAAAGAGAGAGAAAGAATAAGTGAAAAAGAAAAAAAAACTGGATGTTCACCTGCATAGTGTTAGTAAAATAAACCGCACCCCATACAAATAATGACGAAAACTATGAAAAGCACTTATTTCATTTTTTAGCAAAACGGTCTTTGAAGAAAAAAAATATATATTTGTATGAATCAATAGATTTTAAAAAAAAAATACTAACCTCCCGATCGCTTAAAATAATTAAAATTATGAATATGAAATTTTTTAAAACCTCTGACAAGTAATAAAAGCTATCATTGATTAAAAAATATTTTGAGAAAAAAATATTTAAAATATCACGAGGCATGACGTTTTGGGTTAATGATGAAGTGTACTTAGCAACAGGAATTCTAAGTGCCAAGGTTGCTAATATCATTTAGAGAAAACGCCAGACATATCTAAGAACATCACAGATTCCAATAAGCAGCTAGTTTACAAAGTTTATAACAGAATGTAGTGAAAGAAATTTTCAATTGCTTATTGTTTCTTTTTATCTTCATATGAAAAATACTCTTTAAAGTGAACCGTTATCATGAAACTTCCAAGAGATACTGTTAAAATTCCAAGAATTCTTTTGGAAGAGACTTGTCGAGGAACCTTTAACTTTGAGAAAGCGAAGCTTCCTTCCTTTTTTTTTGTTTTCTTGTAGCATCCTTTTTCTGTTTTAGGAGGAGAGAAGGGGGAAGTAGCAATATTGTGATGGGTAATTTTATTTTGTAGCATATTTACGGTTAACAGGGCGCGTCATTTATTTCCCAATTGCTGGATACACTCAAAAACAGTGCATAAATAAATAAATAAATAATTTTAAAATGAGCTTCGGTTGAGAAGAGATTTTTTTTTCTCTCCATTCCCTTCGATTCTAGCTGGATTTATTTTGTTTTATATTTTCGAAATTCTCAGAGAATTCGAAATCAAATATTAGCCTTCACGATAAAAAAAAAAAGTGGGGAAAAAAATGAAAAAAATGTCGATAAAAAAAAATTCCACAGTCAATAAGGGAGTTTTCAAAAAGCGGAGACGAGAAAATAATAAAGAAATAAGCCAACGAAAAATAAAGTGGATTATGTAGGGGAGAATAGAGTTATAAATTTTCTGAGGGAATCAAAAAAAAAATCTTTTTCTCATAAGGAAACCATAACATAAGGGAGTATCAGAGACTACACACGCACATCTATCAACAAATGCATTAAGTCAACAACGTGATGCGTTCGATATGAAACTACTATATATAATTAAATGTATAGAAAATGATGGCTATTATGAGGAAAAACAATTGATGTATAAAATAGGTATGTAATTTATCAATAGACCGCTGAATTATTTATCTATACAATGGGTGTATGAGTATGTTTATACGATGAATAATGGTATCCAAAACAAAAATGAATATAGAGACAACTTATGAACCATGGGATTCGACGACGTTGTTGATCTCGGCTTCTCCCGGTTAGAATGAAAGAAAACTATGTGTAAGGAAAATGCGACTTATCCTCGAAAATCTCAGCGCGTTTCCCTTAGTTTTGTTAATCCTTCTGACGTGAAGAAGCTGAAATCGACATACGTCGGCGAAACATGTCTTTTATGATATTTTCCATTCTGCCATACATACATACATACATATATATATATATATATATATATATATATATATATATATATATATATATATATATATTGTGTATTGGGGCAGCAGATCATTATTTAAATATATATTGTTAAATATAACAGACAACGAAAGTCTATTATGTTAGATCGGCTCAGGATAAAACATAATAGACATTCGCTGTCTGTTATATTTAACAATATATGTTTGAATACATACATATATATATATATGTGTGTGTGTGTGTATATATGTGTGTGTGTCTAGCGAAATGAAGAGAAAGAACAAACAGATTTAGTGTTGAGCCGTTAATATGACAGTTCCCCGAGACATGTATGACTACCATACATCCCCTAACATTTAACCTATATTTTTAACTTTTCAAATTTAGCGTTGACATTACTTCTGATTAGTTAAAATTGACACACCCATATGATAAAAATCTGTATTCCCTCCTCCATATTAACTCTTTAATAAGCAAACATATTGTTTTCTATTTTCAAATGTAGATCATTTTCACCAAAGTTACGGAGGAATACCTGATGACGAGATAAAAATTTTAAGTCTCGAAACAGAAATTACCTTGTCGCAATGTAAAATATTTTTAATAAAAATATCACGGAATATATATATATATATATATATATATATATATATATATATATATATATATATCTTTGGACAGAGATCATACATTATTATGGCTCAAAAGTAGTGTCCAATATTTTTAAGAAAAACCTCGGCGAATTCTAGTAAGATTTCTAAGACACAATGATTTAAATCTAATAATTGGCAAATTTTATTGTTACACCTGGTATATATATATATATATATATATATATATATATATATATATATATATATATATATATATATATATATATATATATATATACATACATCAGATTTTATTTTGCAATTAAATGATTTTACACGGAATTTGGCATGCTGGTAATATTTTCCGGAAATTTTTATGATAAATATAGCATATGCGAGATATTTATAAGAACTCGACTGTTTATATTTTAAAAAATATATGTATGATATATAGTTATTGAAACTTATTTTTTACTTTCAGGTATATGAAAATTGTCATGGGTCGTCTGGAATATACAAGACTTAGAAGAGAAATGTTATTTAGTGATACAAGCAAAAATTTGCAAGCAATACGTTGAACAGAAGCAATGTAAGAAGAAGCAATGTAAAATGGAACACTTTACAAGAAGAATGAAGTCATAAGATTTGAGAAAGTTGAGGGTAAAAATCAAGAAAAAATGGATTGAGAAGCTGGTATCTGTTTATATCTCTGAGATATGGTATTATAATTACTTGAATTATTTTATTCGAACTCTTATCTTTATCTTCATTGCCATATTTACAACGTTTCGTTTTTTGTACGCCGGCACATACAACAGCCAATATCTTGTGAATATGGTAATGAAGATGAGGTTAACAGTCCTAATAATGTACATAATGCATGAGAAACTGGTGTTCCGAATGTAACTGGAGAGATAAAAGATGCAGAATATAACTCGCACCCTACCACAAGTGGAACACTTATATACGATCCATCGCTAAGGATGCAGGTAAAATGATTGGCTCCCTGTAAGTACCTGACTCCTCATGCTATTTTCTATCTTTGCAAGAGCCAGATCAGGCCGACAATGAAGCATTACTTCCTACGGTAAAGTGTCTGCCAACAACGACTACAGGATCCAGTCAGTTCTGCTATTTAACCCATAGCTGTGGTGGTAAGTTTCAAAACTTTCCCTAGGGTATTTTCGCGCCAGTGAATGTGACGAACCCGGCTGGAATTCGAATTCGGCTCTATGATTATCTATAACTCATTATCAATCACATAACGTGCACATCCTATAAAGGACTATAATGAACCAAAAGCAACCTATACTAAACTACTATTATTGATAATAAACATTACTGGAATACTGACGAGGTTTGGTGTTACATGATCTCAAGTGAGAGCCAGCAAAAGCTGTGATGTGAAAACGAGTACAAGAACAACAACAACAGCAACAACAACAATAGTAATAATAATAATAATAATAATAATAATAATAATAATAATAATAATGTCTCGTGTCTTTCCAACGTTTGCATACAAATAATACTTGCGTTCATACAATAAAATATTTTTAAAATATTTATAAAGAAAATAAAAAGAAAACGCCTAATGTAAAGCTGATCCCTGGAACACTAAAAGGTTTTAAATATTCTTAGTTTGCCATTCGAGAGAAGTCTACGGAGACCTTTTTAGTGAGTGAGGGAATACATATATGGGTGGGGCTTGAGCTGAGGTCGCTGGTAGTGCTGGAAAATGCAACCAAAATCATAAGAAAAATATAACAAAAACAAAAGTTAAAGGAAGTATAGTAAATTGAAAGTAGATCGAAAATATGAACAAATAGAGGAAAAAAACAACGAAAATGTAAAATTAAAAAATTGTTTCAAAGTAAAGATATTAGTAAGAAATAAAAATGCTTGAATATATATATATATATATATATATATATATATATATATATATATATATATGGGGGGGTTGTGTGCATATGTGTGTGTTTGTGTTTCTGCGTGTCTATCAGTTTATGCATTTGTTTGTCTTTTTTAGATTATGGAAGTAGAGAAAGAATGCAAGTAGAATGTTCAATGAAAATTTTATTCCGGATTAAAAAAAACGCAAGTCAATCGTATAAAATTTAGCTTTTTCCACCAAACGACACTACAGAGAAAGGCATAACTTTTTTTTTTCGGTGTGTTTCGAGAATAGAGGGAGGAAGAGGAGATGAAGAAGAAAAAGAAGAATGGCGGGAAGAAGAAGCGAAACAGAGGGGGAAGAAGAAAGAATAATACAGGAAGAAGAAGAAGAAGAAAGAGGAACAGAGGAGGAAGGATAGAAAGAAACAGAGGAAGAAGAAGGAAGATGAATTGAGGAAGAAGAAGGAAGATGAATAGAGGAAGAAGAAGGAAGATGAATAGAGGAAGAAGAAGAAAGAGGAATAGAAGGAGGAACAGGAGGAGGAATAAAAGAATAGTAGTATTAATACAAATATAATGCGTCCCTCAGACGATATACATTTTATTCTGGACCTCAACTCCGGAGTTTCGTAGACGAACTTTTTTGTAACTGTTTGGTCCAATCATCTGGTAGTTTCAACGATTGAATGCGAATTTTCACATATCTTGTGATTTTTATGCTAAGTTTGACGTGATTCATATATACGCTTATTGGGATGCTATTATTATTGGGACTAGGTTGATCTCTGTGTGAGTGTCTGTCTGTCTGTATATATATACATATATATATATATACTGTGGTTATTTTCCTATTTAACATTTCATATATATATATATATATATATATATATATATATATATATATATATATATATATATATATGGGTGTGGGTGTGGATATGTATTTAGACAGCAAATTCTCTTTTAGGCATGTCATTGAATAAATTAAAACATTATCATAATCCTTTCATATTCACGAATATTGTTTATATTTTACAATCAAACGAGGCAAGAAATGCACCGTAACAGTGAAAATCACTTTTATTTTACAAGTACTTTATATCTCTTTCTGAGATATATACATATGAGAGAGAGAGAGAGAGAGAGAGAGAGTTTGAGAGAGAGTTTACAGTCAGACGAATGCAGTGATTGACTACAAAGCGTGTAATTTCCCAATTTCTCTACCATAAAATCAGTATTCAAGATTTTGCTTCGTAGCTGGGCACGAACGCAGATAGGTGCTGGGCCTACATACACGACTATACCAGGCACCAAGATAACATACACTGAGAGATTTGTCATGAAACTCATTTAATGCTAAAGGATCCATTCCATTGTGAGTTTAAAAGTTTTCCCGGTGTTTTCGCCTGCAGCGCGTTTCTCCTCTTTGCGAAGGATATAAGGAGAACGCCTTAGTGTTCTAACAGATTAGGCGGGTCACTATCTGGGGCTAAATTCTTATATATATATATATATATATATATATATATATATATATATATATATATATATATATATATATATATATATATATATATATATATATATATATATATATATATATATACACGCAAACAAATCGAGGAAACCGGCGTTAGACAATATGTAATATAGGGGAACCTCGGTTCTCGAACGTCTCTCGTGTTGAACAAATTCGAGCTGAAAATGTCTCGCTTATCGAACAAAATTTCGGTTCTCGAACAACATAGCCGAAACGAGTTAAGACGAACGGAATAATTTTTGAGTAGACCGCCGTGTTGTATACATTCGTGTGTTGCGCCGTGCTTTTCTTTTTTTCAAAATTATTTTTCAGTGACTTCTTTCTCTACATTGATTCCAACTGGAAAAAATAATTTCGGTTTACGAACATTTCGGGTTACGAACGGATTCAAGAACGAATTTAATTCATGAAGCGAGGTTCTACTGTATTTATTCATACTGAGTTTTGTGTTTCGTTAGGTTTTACCGGGTGAATTTCATAAAGACAAAAGAAGTCAATATAAGAACAATGTCAGTTCAGTTAATTTCTGGCACTAGCAGTCTGAACGTCATAACAGAAGGGGAATTATGGAAGTATTTATTTAAATTTTTACTTCTGGTATCAGTCAAAAGTGGTACGCCGTTTCTTTTATTTGCCGTAACCCTTAGCTATCTTGGTTCCCCACGTTTTTCTGTTGTTAGTAGCTCTTTAATAAATTTTATTTTTTGCCATATCTCCTAAAACCTGCTCCGCCATCCATTTGCTCCGTCTTGCCAGCTAGCTTGTGCATTAATTACCTCTGTCCCTCTTAACTTATTTGTCCCTGTGAGTATAAAAATTTCCAAGCCCTCTATCCTCATTATATGCCCTGTAAATTTCAACTGTCTCTTCCCGTATAAGGATCCTTTTTGTTGCCATTGTTTCTAGAACTTCGTCCTTGACATTTTCAACATCCTTCAGTTGAACCACATTGTAGCTTCAAATCTCTTCATCTGTTAGGATATTGTCCAGCATCCACGGAGGACTGATACTACATGACAATTCAATATTCTTTTTTTTTGTTTCTAACTGTGTTTTTCTTTTTCTTAATACTTTGCCTAGCTTTTGGAAGGCATCTTTCGCTATCCCATATGAGCCTTCAAATTTTCGTATTTTCTGTCCTCTGTTAATATGCTTCCCAGATCTCTAAATTGTTGAACCTTTACAAACCTGAAATAAAAATACGTGTTCAGGCCTGTCAGATCTTAAGTTTCTTGTGGTTTGGTTTTATTGTTTTTGTTTAAAGGCATATCAACCCCTATGTTTTCAGTGTCACAAAGAGTATATCCACTCGACAATGGGCTAGATAGTAAAAGTATCAAAATCCTTATCTTCCAGATATACTCTGGTCGACAATTTGAAAAGAGTTGAGAGAAAAAGTTATAAAATCAATAAGGGCAGAGTATAGAGATAAGAAAAAGGAGAAATAATCACATTCTCGGCGCATGCGCCCCCCCATACACATACACACATAAATGAAAAAATCGAACTTGTACTAAAGAAAACGTGCATAACTTATTTTTTAACTCAATATAAAAGTGACGAAAAGCGAGAAAAACAATGAATTGCTGAGAGAGAGAGAGAGAGAGAGAGAAAGAAAGAGGAAGAAATAAAGAGAGAGAAAAAGAAATGCAACGAGAAATAAATAAAGAGAGAGAAAAATAAAGTGAATTGAAAGAAATAAAGAGAGAGAGAAAAAAGAGTAAAGAGAAATAAATAAAGAGAGAAAGAAAGATAAAGGGAGAAAGAGAGAGAAAGAGAGAAATAAAGTGAGAGAAAGAAGTAAGGCGAGAGAAAGAAATAAATAGAGGGAGAAAGAAATAAAGCGAGAATGAAAGAGAGAAAGAGAAAGAAAGAAAGAAAGAAAGAAAGAAAGAAAGAAAGAAAGAAAGAAAGAGAGACATAAAGTGAAAGAGAAAGTGAGAGAAACAAAAAAGAAAGGGAGAGAGAGGGCGGAAACGAAAGAAAGAAAAAGGGAGGAAGCGAAAGAAAGAAAGAGAGAAAAAGCGAAAGAAAGAGATAGAGAGAAATAGATAGAGAGAAAGAGAAACAGAGAGAGTAAAAGAGAGATATTTACGTATGTGACTGAAAAAATTTGCGTGGCTACACATAAAACATACTTCGCCTCAAAATTTATATAACTCTGGAGGTACGTAAACGCTGGAGTCGATATACGTATATATTAAATCTTGTGTACACTACAATAGACAGCTTATAATATTCAATGATGCAGATGTAATTCTTCAGGAAGAATTTTCGATTATGAAAACACTATCTACATCCATATATTTAATCTGTAGCAACTGATATAACACACTGATATAACACACTGATATACACATATACACATGGACGCATATTACCGCAAAGATAAATTTTTAGTGGGCGGAGGTTTCTCCTGAAAATAGGATGGCAGTTTTGAACCCTTCCGAAGAGTAGTACATTTTCTTTAGTGGTTTTTCTCAAGTGCGCAGGCGGTAGATGTAATACATATTGTTTAAAAAACGAGCGTCTATTCAAACACAGCTATCCACTAAATTAATGTTCGAAGTAATGGCGGATTAGAAAATAAATCTATTAATTCTTTACAATATATATATATATATATATATATATATATATATATGTGTGTGTGTGTGTGTGTGTGCGTGCGTGTGTGTGTGTGTGTGTGTGTGTGTGTATGTGTGTGTGTGTAACAGAGAGAATGATCCAGAAAAGTATTAGCGCTTGTATGCGTGTCTAAAATATGATGATGAGAAAAAGTATGGCGTCAAACAAGTAACTGAGTTTATAAATAGAATCTGCGATATCTGCACGCTGTTAACATCCACGTGCTTATCTAACATTTCAATGCAGTTATGTGTACGGGTGCTATACACACATACAATAGTTGGGTAATATTTAACTATCTCCGATTGGAAACCGTCTAATCATATATATATATATATATATATATATATATATATATATATATATATGGACAGTTCTTTTTCACTCTTGATAATCTGCTTTCGTTACGAGATACCAGATAAAACTTTATAAATCTTTTTGCCCGCAAAATTGTCATTTGAGAGTGAATATTTTTTTAAAATAAGTACCATGCGTATTGTCTCCGTGACTCACGATCACATCCACGATATGCATAGGTGACTTTCAACAGTAATATGCGTAAGGATTCATCTTCAGATTTGTATCAGAAATCTATCAGTAAAAAGTCAGTAGACATACCAAATGTCTTTGTCAACGGATTATTTCTTGCCGTCAGAAATTTAACGGCAAAACCAAAAAGAACGAGGATTAAAATCGGAAGAAACCAAAATTATAAAAATAAAAAGGAAAAAGAAAGAGACATTCGATAATAAAAGAAATCGCAAATAACATGGAAAGCAGACAGAGCAGCAATCGATCAATTCAATCGATACCCAGAGATAGGTAGTAATAGATTTCAATTTCAATATATGTGCATATATTACTTCAGACGTTATTTTTAGTGGATATCCGTATTTGAAATAGACGCACCATTTTCTTTTTAAACAATGTGGGTTACATCTGTTGGCGTATGAACTCGAGAAATCTTGAACGATGTTTTTTTTTCCTACTCATGACGCAGATTCGAGCCGAGCTGGAGAGCGCAATTTCTTTAAGATTTTATTAAGATACACTTTGTTTAAAATAAAAATGGGACATTTATTTCAAATAAAAATATCCACTAAAAACGTTTGAAGTAATAAAATTCATTAATATATGATTATTTCTTAACTTTCAGGTGTACAAATGCAATCATGATTTTTTTCTGTGAAAATGGGTATCGTATATCCCACCCCGTTAGCTCAAGATATTACGAGGGTAGCTGATATATGCATAATATGCACAGTCCAATTCCCCGGGAGGAGAAATGCCCCTACGGCCAAGAGGAGAATGGTAGAAGAATCGGAGGAAACAAAACAAAACAACAACAAAAAAAGACAAGAAAAATCAAAAGCATGTGCACACAGACACACACAGAGGGTTCGGTGAGTAAATTGTCGCCATTTTATATTTTTCATTACGCGCATGCGCGTTACTTGTTTTTGATTTTGTCGACTCAGAGTATAGTATAGTCAGTTGGGCACTGTCTGTGAGAAAAAGAGCGGCATAACAAAATTCACTCTGAAATTTGGAAAAGGCATGCTGTTCTGCTTAGCATTCGCGACGGAAGCTCCAATACGAACATTTCAGCGTGTTTGGGTGTCAATCTGAAGAAAGTGCAGAGGATTCGGAAGGAGTTGGATGATATATCTGGTCAACATCAGGCACAACGCGGATGCTTACATCAAGTGCCTTGAGGAGGTAGTGCTGTCCTGGGTCAAGAGGGTCGCTTTTGGAAGACACTATATCTAGCAATAGGACTCTGCACCATGCCACACAAGCAGGAGAATTTCTACGACCATATCACACCTTATATTTGTTTACCTAACTTCCCAGACTGCAACCTCCTTGAATTTTATGTGTGGGGTGCACTTGAGCGAGAGACCAACAAAATTCCTTCTAACACCCAAGATGACCTGAAGCTAAGAATTATGGAAGTATTGACCAATTAAAACAAGGAGACCGTCCAGAAAAGATGCAGGAGATTCCGAAGTCGTCTGGAAGCCGTGGTTGAAGCCAATGGCGATTTTATTGAATAAATTTAATTTTTAAGATTTAAGATATTTTTGTGCAATTTTGATAAATATATCTGTTAAAATGAGATGTATGTGTTATTTTCATTTTCCTGTAAATTAGACGACAATTTCTCCTTGTGTGTGCATCTATCTATCTATCTATCTATCTATCTATCTATCTATCTATCTATCTATCTATCTATCTATTATGTGGGGGGGGGCATGTGTGTGTGCAAAACCATACCATGGGATGACCCAAGCCTTGTGAATGAAATTGCGTAGACAGAACCCTTAGGGGCCGTCTACAGCTGTGCTAGCACGAAGTCACAAGTCATCGTGACCGAGGATTTGAGTGTGCTGTCCGTGTTCTGATTGTTGATCACGCTAGATAACACGCTCTCTCCCAGAAACTGTAACTAAGGTCTGCTCAGGATAGTCGCAGTATAAACCATATGTTGGCTCTGTGGGGGTGTTAAAGAAACACAAATGTGCTTGAGCGAGCGTCTGCAACAGAGATTGGCCAGCCGTCTTAATAGACGAGTATCCTCAAATACGAGTGGCCGGCTACTATACACACACACACACACACACACACACACACACACACACACATATATATATACGCAAATGGATAGGATCGTTTAAAATAATTTCTTTTTATAGATGTACGTAATTTTAAAACGTAACTTGATAAACATATTGTCGGAATATCGTTAAACATTATTTTCTCTTTTCCTGTAATAATTTTATGGGACTTTATTATACACACAAAACAATCAGAGCTAATCGGCCAGACATAATGATTAAAGACCACAGAAACATTACTTATTGACATGGCAGTTCCTGAAGACTAACGCATCTATGAAGCTCTTAAAAAATATCAAAATACAAGGATCTTGAAGTGGAAAAAAAAGTGTAACACATGAAAGTACACAGATATTGGACAATTTATGTTAAAATATGTAGTGGAAAACAGGTTAATGGTCAGGAATATAGAAAAGATAAATAAAAATATCTTCAACAATGAACTTTCGTAGACAAAAACGATCAGAAAAAGCAAGACTGATTGATTCCTATGAGCTTCGATAGATCGATTCGGTTAATTTATGAATACGGAAGAGCCAAGATCCTTAGACCGGCAAATGAAGATAGATAGATAGATAATGAAGAGGCTGGGGTAGATAGATAGATAGATAGATAGATAGATAGATAGTTAAGAGGCTGGGATAGATAGATAGATAGATAGATAGATAGATAGATAGATAGATAGATACTATTGCTTTTGTTTTGTACGTGACATTGTTTCGTGTTTTGACTGAGAATGTCTGTCAATAAGATCCGAGCACTGAAAAAATATGCAAGTAAAATTGATGAAAGTATCTGCGAACAATAGAAGCAAACAGTTGACACAAGCTTTTGTTTCATCTTTGAATAAAAAAATCTAAAGACCTTTTGAAATGCGCAAAATAAATAGGTCTATGTTTGCTGATATGCAGGTGTGTGCATTTGCACATCTTTCATTATATGCGATGATGGTAGTGAACAGCCTAATGATTCTTTTTGTGTGCCTTGTCCTTTTAGGACGTAGACAATCATCGCTCTCCACCTCCCTCTATTCCTTGCAGATCTCAATAAGTTCCTTCCTTCTGCCACCTCCCCTAGACCACATCCTGTCATTCACTTGCTTAAGGCCGCTAGGTATGTCACGCATTGTTTTCCCTTGTCTCTGTTTCCCCTCTATCCGACCCGTGAGTATCAGATTCTCCAAGCCCTCCTTCCTCATTATGCGTCCCAGAAACTTCAGCTGCTACTTCCTGATGTTAAGTATAAGCCTCTACCTTGTTTGCAATCACATCGTTGCTCACACGCTCGGTCCATGATATCCTTAGCATTAATGATTATCTGACGTAAATTGAAGCGGCGAGTCTCAGCTTGTGACATTAATGGCGCGAATCAGCCGCTCTCTTTTCGGCTTTGAGTTAAATTACAGGCCTACTTGGACGTTCTAGCCTTGGTTGGCAGCTATTATAAAGAGAAAAAAAACTCTGGATACTGTATATTTGAACGCATACTTGTAGAGAAGCGTTGCCTAACCGTTTACTGCAACTGCTTTTTCGTAAGCCAATCACGCATACATGTCTGTGCATGTGTGTGTATTCCTCTGAGTGTGTGCGTATGCAACAGCACGGGAGGAGTCAAAAGGAGAGATGTGTAGGTGTGTACGTAAATATGCAGATATTTTTTTTAGCTGACAACGTAAAACACACAAACAATTTTCCTAAAATTCGGTAAATTTACAAAATTTTCATTTTGTTCATTAGACAAATTATCTCTCTTTAATTTTGTATTTCGCTGGATATTCCATACATTTCAAAATAGCATAAGGAACTAATACTTGTTTTCTAACGAATACATTTTTCCATTTTTGATGGAATCAGTTCATGGAGTTTTTGATTAGCACTATTTAT